GAAGGCAAGAACTTAAGCTGGTTGCTGTCTGGCAATCTCATGTAACTGGTTTAGGGTGGTGGCGTCTAACCTTTCTAACCTTTACTTAATCCGATTTGATTCTTGTCTAAAAGTCATGGGATCACTCAATGACCAGACCCCACCTGCACTGATACCATTTTAACTTTTTTTTCATGTTCTTTCCTTTGTCTTGTAAAGAGATGAATCATATACCTATGCCTTAAATTTAGCCCTAACCCTCAACTCGGGGCAGCAGCAGGAGCTCTGACTGCCCGTGGGTCTTGTCCCCACGCACCAGCTCTGCCTGCCCATGGGTCCTGTCCCCATGCCAGCGAGGGCAGCAGAAGCAGCGGCAGCAGCAGAAGCGGCAGCAGCAGAAGCTCTGACTGCCCATGGGTCCTGTCCCCATGCTGCACTATTCTCTAAATAAAAGAGCACTACTGCCAGATCGTGAGAGTCCAAGAAATCTTTCTTTCGACTCCTTGGCTCACCGAGCCCGCATCATTAGGAGTTGTTTTGTATATGGAACACATCAACCCTTAACACAGGACACGGTTACTCCCTATATTTCTTTGTGCAGTTCTGTTGATTTTGATTATCTTTTGTCACATATAATTTTAAAAATTTTTATGTAGTCAAATATGTCTTTCTTCTCCTTATAGCTTCTGGATTTCTTGTCAACCTTATGGATTCCCCTACCTCAGATTAAACAGATTATATACTTCCTAACTTTATTTTTCTCTTTTCTTTGGCTTTTTTTTTTTTTTTTTAAATATTTAGGCCTTTACTCTATCTGGAATCTTTTGGTTTTCTTTTGTGTGATGCACAGTATTTTTGCTTGGTTGGTTTCTTCCAAACAGATAGCCAACTATGATGGTAACATTTATTAAATAAGCATTCTTTCCCCACTAAATTCAAATACCACTGTGTCACAGAATAAGCTCTCATACACACTTGGACTGTTTCTGTCCTCTCTGTTCTTTCCATGAATGTATTTTGTTTATTCCTGTGTTAATAACTTGTTTTGAATAGGGCAAGTCTTCCTTCACTTCTTTTTCAAAATTTTCAAATTTTCAAAATTTTCTTGGTTATCCTAGGATATTTGCTCTTCTGCATAAAGTTTAAGACTCCCATTGGGCTTAAAATTAAAATTATATTAATCATAAATATTAGTTGGAGAGGGAAAGATATTTTTATATTAATTTTCCTCTTTCAGTAACACGGTATCTTTCTAATCATACCATGTTTTCTGTTCTTATAGTATTTTACATATCCTACACATAGATCTTATATTTTCATTGTTTAATTTATTTCCAAGTATTTTGTAGTTTTTTTATCCATATTATAAATAGACTCTACTTTTATTCCAAGTGGTTATTTCTAGTATAGGCAAAATTTATTGAATTATATGTGGCTATTCTATATCCAGCCACATTTCCAACTCTCTTATTACTTCTAGTCATCTCCTGGGTTTCTAGACATACATTTTATGATCTCTAAACAGAAAAAAAGAGTCACAAAGTCTCTGTTATTTATACAGATGTTTTTCATTATCTCATATATTAGCTAAAACCTCTAAAACAAAGTTGAATGACTATGATAGTAAGCGTCAATGTCTTTATTATTATTTTAATGGAAATGTTTTTAGTATTTCACAGTTTAAGCTGATGTTTACTGTTGGATCTTGGTAAAGGTGTTTATCATCAGAACTATCACTTTAGATGTGGAAGTATATAGTGCACAATGGGCCACCTTTAAGAAGAGTTTGTTTTCTCCCAGTGTATTGGAATAGTCTAAAGGATCTGTTCCTTGAAGGTTGAAGGTACAAAACAACCTGGACCTCATGCCTTTTTTCAGTCATAGGTTTCAAATGACCTTACAAATTTCTTCTAATGTTATTGGTCTGTTTAGGTTTTCTGATTCTTCTTTGGATCAAATTTGGTAGTTTATATTTGGTATGAAAATAATCCTTTTTTCTTTCTTTAAGATTTTTAAGTATATTACCATATATTAAAATTTAATAACATCTTAATTTTAAAATATTACCTGTGCCTATGATTATATTTCTTTCTCATTCTGAATGCTGTTTTTTCCTCAATCAGGTTTGAAATGGTTTATCTATTTTATTTTAGTTTTCTAAAGAACCAGCTTTGCATTTCATTTATAACTTCTTCTAATTTTTATTTATAGTTGTGGTAGGCTGAATCACGCTCCTCCACCCGCAAGATGTCCATGCCCTGATCCCTGGAAACTTTGAATATGTTATGTTACATAGCAAAAGACACTTTGCATATGTAATTAGGCTTCTAGATCTTATGACTGAGAGATAATCCTGGATTATATGGGCAGCCCAATCTAATCACATGAGCCCTTTTAAAAGCAGAGAACTTTCTCTAGCTGGAGGAAGAAAAGATGAGGAAGAGGTAGGAGAAGTCAGAGAGATTCCAAGCCAGTGAGACGGATTCAATGCACCACTGCTGGCTCTGAGAGGGAGGGGGTGCCATGTGCAAGGAGCAGAGAGAGGACTATATGAGCTAAAGACAACCCTCAGCTGACAGCCAGTGAGGAAATGGGGACCTCAGTCTTACAGCCACAAGGAATTGGATTCTCCCAATAACCTGAATTAGCTTGCAAGCTGTCTACCCCAAAGTCTCCCCATAAGAGCCCAGGCTGGCCAACACCTTGATTTTGGCCTTGTGAGACCTAGAGCAGTGAAACCAGTCAAACCAACCTGGATTTCTGATGTACAGAAACCGTGAGGTAATAAATTTGTGTTGTTTTAAGCCACTAAGTTTCTGGTAATTTGTTATGGCAACAAAAGAAAACTAACATAACTGTCCATGAATTTTTTTTTGTCTTTATTTTCCTGGTGTATTTTGCTGTTCTCCTTTAGTTTCTTAAACATATACTTAGTTTATGTATTTTAAGTACCCCCCACAAAAAAAAATATTAAAAGCATTTAAGCCTATATTCCTCTGAGAACCATTTTACCTAAGACCCATAGATTTCAGAATGAATATTCTCTTTTTTTGCTAATTCCTAGCTATTTCTTAATTTTACATGTTAAGATACAGAGCAGAGTGTAAGTTGGTTTTTAGAAAGTCCAGATTAAAAGGCATTTTTGGTATAGAAAGCTTTTTCTTAGCTTTAAAAGCTTTGATGATGATGATGATGATGATTATACAAGAAATGAATGTGTGTTTAGAAGATATAGAAAGAGAAAAGAAAAATAATCACCTAGAATCCAGCCACCTAGAGAGCATTACTGCTAAGGTTCTGGTGGTGTATATCTTTCCAGATGTTCAGAGAACACCCTGGCATATAATTAACTCAGTAAAGGCATTTTATTCAGTCCATCGTAACTACTGTACTCAGAACCACAGAACCTTCTCCCATGGAAGCTACGTAGAGTTTGGGTGCTTTCCGTTCTGTTCCTCAGAGATACGGACCTCTACTAAGGATGCTCTAACACAGGCTGAGTGATCCTGGGGACATCCTGGAAACAACAGAACCGAGTGCTTGTGGGGAGGGCCCAGGACCTAGACAGACCTGGGCCTGAGTTTCAGCTCTGCCATTAGCTGTGTAACCTGTGTGTCCTCAGCATCTGTAAAGGCTATCTCACTTAAAGGACTATGTGAGATAAGTAGAATGCTTCACACTGTGCTCAGGCTCTGGCATTCTGCATTCTCACGCGGCGCAGAGGAAGTGAGGCAAAGCAAGAGGAACAGACGGCTGGAAGCAGAAGAGAGAGCTGAGAAAAGTCTTGGAGAGATGCCAGTAAGCCAAAAAGGTCCTCAAAGCAACCGGCAGCATCTCAATGGCCCCTGTTCTTGCCATCCTACTCTCTGAGGGGAAAGGGTCCACCAGTTGGTGGTGGCAGAGGAAGCTGCTCCCAGATCTGTGGCAGTAGCTGAGAACACTGAGGGAAAATCCACCTTGAGGACAGGAGATCTGAGCTGGCTCAGCCATCCAGTTTGAGATATTCTCCTTTTTCCCTCTTAATCAGGAAGATCATGTTTGATGAAGGGTTTTCTGTGTTTCCCTCCTGACTGACATGGTTCCCTTCCCCAATCCTTTGCTCCAGGCACAGTAAGGCAAACAAATAATTAATAATGTCCATACAGATAGTAACTTTTATTTAATTACAATTCAAAAAACTTATCACTTCAAACGCCTTTCTTTAAGAAGAAGAAAAACAATAAATTAATGTCTGATAAGAGGTCCTACTTTCAAGAGGTCATACAGTCATATATTTTAAGATACGCGTTGGTGTTTTATGGGTTTCCTCTGGTTTCTTACTTCTCCTATACCCACAGAAAAATAAAGTTCACCATCATGTCCCAATCAGGTAGCTGGATGTATATTATACTAACCAAGGAAGGAAAGTGAATCAACATAGTTGACAAAGATTTGTCAACAAAGTGGTTAACACCAAAAAGACTTTAAAAACTAACCTTTACTCTAGCCACCTAGAACGGCCAAATCCCTATCACACTCTATTAACTTAATGTTTAAGTACAGTGCTCTCAAGAGCGTGTGTTTTTAGTAAGTGAAGAGAAGACAGAGCAAAAATAAACTAACTACTGAGGCTTCAAAATCTAACAAAGTAACAAAGAGATAGAAATTCATCTCTTCACTCATGAAGCTAAATCTAGAAAATAGAAGGGACAGAGAATGTGGGAAAGAAATCTAAAGCTCTTGCCTATGCTAGTTTATTCTGCACACAGAACTTAGAGTCCGAACAATGGGAGTCTAGATGTTACGAGGTGGCAATTTCCCTCCATACATATGTCCATATTTAAAATCTCACATTCAAGTTCACAGACTGTCAGGTCTGCAGTTCCAGTGCCCCCTCAGGGGAAAATATAATGGCAACAAATATAACAAGCACTAGTGGGAATAGGATAAGTTCCAAGAACCTATGAATGCATAGAAAACATCTACAGTATTTCATTGTCTTACTTTTTATATCTTGTTTATAAATATACTGAGACACTGACCTGTAACATGTAGAGTATGACAGCTATCAGTCCAATCCAGCTGTGCAGACTGTACATATTGGGGATATTCCTGGCATTGTGGAAATCAAAAACGGCCACCAGAGAAATTATTGCAAGAACGGCAGCAACAGTGTTTAATCCTGCATGGATGGATTTCATCAGGAACTTGCTGCATTTCCAAGTCCATGGCAGTCTGTATACAATGATGGCTGGGAAGAGACAAAAAGGGACAGAATGTGTGTGTGTGTTTTCAAATCAACACAAGATGAACAGTTTGACACACTGAACACTCCCTTCCATGAAACCTTCTTCTCTTGGCTTTGGCTTCTCCTCTCTTGCCTGCCTCTCAGTGGTTCCTTCTTGGACTCTTTTGCTGGCATCTTCTTTACTCCCGACTTGTGACTGAACCTGGGTGCCCCCCAGGCTCAGTCCTAGGACATTTTCCTCCCTCTGCACTCTCTGTGGGTGATCTCATTCACTCTTTCACCGAAATGCTACCTAGATGGCAGAGACTCTAAAACTTATGTCTCCAGCCCAGAACTATTTTTTTTTTTTTTTTAAAGATTTTATTTTTTTCTTTTTCTCCCCAAAGCCCCCCAGTACACAGTTGTATATTCTTCGTTGTGGGTCCTTCTAGTTGTGGCATGTGGGATGCTGCCTCAGCGTGGTTTGATGAGCAGTGCCATGTCCGCGCCCAGGATTCGAACCAACGAAACACCGGGCCGCCTGCAGCGGAGCGCGCGAACTTAACCACTCGGCCACGGGGCCAGCCCCTAGCCCAGAACTTTCTTCTGAACTCCAGACCCACATAATCCAACAGCTTCTTGACATCTCCTATGGATGCCTCTAAGATATCTCAAACTTAACACATCAAAATTAAATTCTTAATCTTATGATCTGGTTTCTTTGTATAACTGTCTTAGATTGATTTTTTTAAAAAAGGACAGACTAAGGAATAGAAAAATATGCAACAAGATTTAAATAGACAAATAGTACATCCAAGTGGCTTATAAACATAAGAAAGATATCAACCTCATTAGTCAACAGAGCAATGCAAATTAAAACTACATGAGAATATCTCTACCACATATCTAAATGGCTCAATTTGAAAAATACCAATATTGCAGAGGATGTGAACAATTAGAACTCTCATGTTCTGCTGATGGGAGTTTAAATGAGAACAATTTGGAAAATTAGCAGTATCTACTTAAGCTAACCTTATGCATACTTTATAACCCAGCAATTCTACTCCTGTGTATATGCCCAAAAGAAACATGGGCGTGTGTTCACCAAAAGACATGTACTAGAATATTATTAGCAGCACTATTTGTAGTGGCCAAAACCTGGAAACTCCCCAAATGCCTATCATCAATAGAGTGAATAAATAAATTGTGATATATTCATAACATGGACTAACATACAGCAAAGAGAATGGATGATCTATAACTAGAACTTCACCCAACGTTATGCATCAACCTATAACGTCAATCCCAAGAAACCCGACATAAACCAGTATATACGGTATGATGCAATTTATAGGAAGTATGAAAACATGCAAAACTCATCTCTGCAATAAGAAAAGTGAGGATGGTGGTTGCCCTTGTGATGAAGGGGTATAGCTACTTAGAAGGGACGCACACAAAGAATTTCTAGGCTCTTGCTAATATTCTGTCTTTCAATCCGGGTGTTGGTTACATAGGTGTTCACTGAGGGAAGATTCATCAAGCTATACATTTATATGTGCACTTTTCTACATGTAGATTAAACTTCAACAAAAAGATTTTTAAAAAGAGGGTTTTCTTAAGTGTTCTGTTAAAGCAGTAGATTATATGCCCACCTTAACCAGCATCCAATTAATTTTTGTCCTGAAGACGATATCCTGCCCCTACCCCACGTCAGGGAAAATTTAGGTTTCTGAAAATGTATGGCAGATTGAAAAGTTTAAAGAATACTTCTTTGGAAGATGCATTCCACTATACTCAGTATCCTGTACACTTCTTAATTCCAGCCAAAAAAAGTGCCTCTTCCTACTAAAGACACTTATAATTTAAATATATAAAACTTCATAGGATCATCAGAATGTAAGGGATTATCTAGTCTGTTTTCCGGCAGAAACACATCTAAACCTACAAAGACAGATGTGAATTCAGCCTCTTTAAAGCTTTCAGAACAAGATGTCAATCTTCCTACTTTTTGGTTCCACTGCAACTCCTTGACAGCCCTCACCATTAGGACAGTATTCCTTTTATCTAGTCCAAAGTCTACTTACTACCTACTAAGTTTACTGCTTATATGGGTATCTTATAAATGCTGATTGATTATATTTCCTTGAGAACATGGAGACTTTTCGGATAATCATTTCTATATTCAATGAATCTTTCGAACCATTTAATGCAACACCTTAAAGGGTATACTTTTAAAAGCTACTTCAAGGGCCCTTCTCATCCTCTCTGGGGGCAGGAACACAACTTGCTGTTTCTACTTGTATCCCCTGAGCCAAAAGGAGCCCTGGGCTCAAAGTATGCAGCTGCATAAGTATTTTTTTTAACTCTTATTTTGAGATAATTGTAGATTCACATGCAGTGTTAAGAAATAATACACAGAGATCCCACGTACTCTTCACACAGTTTCCCCTGATGGTAACATCTTACATAACTATAGTACAATATCACAACCAGGAAACTCATGTCAATATAATGCACTGACCTTACTCAGATTTCACCGGTTTTATTTATTTGTGCATGTGACCCTTAATATTTTCAAAACAAATAAATGTAAAGCACTTTCTGCAGACTGATCAAAGCTAGAAATCAATTGATGTCAACTCAAACACTGTGGTTTTCCCTTCTCATGCTTTTCTCCTCTGATGATTCAGCAGCACACCCTATATGATTCTCTGGTTTTCAAAGAAACCAAAGGCCTCTTTACTCAATGACTTGTGACCTTTTATGCACTCAGTGGAGCCTTCTGCAATCTGAGATCAGGTAGTATTAAAATTAAAATGTGTAATATGTGAAGACCTAATAACACATCTCCCCCCTCCTGGTGTAGCGTCATTTATTACACACACACACGCAATTGAGCCCTTGCTCAGCAGCGGGCACACTGATAAGCGCTTTACATGTTTACACTTTAATTTTACTTTGACTCTTTGAGGAAGGTACAATTATTATTGCTGTTGTACAGAGGAGGAAACTGAGGTAGAGATAGGTTAAGTAGCCGGCTCAATTTCAGTTAGTATGTTAAAATTAACACTATTATTGTTATCATCATCATCATCATCATCATCGTATCATCCAAGCACAACCCAGAGGGAAGGAATATTAGATGAATGAATTTGAACATCTACATACGAAAAGGAAATACTCAGGATGTGTTCGTTTTTCAAATCAATTGCATACTAGCTTTCCTTCTCTAGCAGTAGCACAAATGGAACACAATTTAATCTTTCATTGATGATTTGGGATTATCAATAAAACACTGTCACATTACTATAAGAGTAAGCCCTTAGGGGCTTTGGAAGGAGGAAGTCCTTGCCTCTGATCAAAATGGGCCCAGACAATTATGGTTTTTTAGTCCTGGGTCTAGTTTAGAGTTTTTCTATTTCTTTTTTTAGTTTCTTGCTCAGGTTAGGGTGCCTAACTCCAACCTCTCCCCTCCATCATCCTACCTTATCTTTTATTCCTACCAGCTCTAAGTTCTAGCTTATAAATTTTTATGTTGGCAAAAATCTTAATATCTGTTATGTCTGGATGGTGAGTACACGGGGATCTGTTATATTATTTTCTGTATGGTTGAAAGAGTACATAATAGTTTTAAAATTAAAACAATATTTTCGTAAGCTTGCAAGCCCAACTGCCAATTAGCGTCAACTACTAAATAGGTAGATGTGGAAATCCGAGGGGCTCTCCTATGAGTGAGGCATGGAGTCTTCAGCATCTCTCCTACCTATATAGAAACTCTGCTGGATGGCAGAAAATACTTCAAAATGCTCTCAGAATAAAGGAAGGCTAACCGTAAAATGTTGTATTTGCATAAGGTGTTTACATACTTTTAAAAATGTATAAATAACCAAAATACGGTAGACTTCAGGAGAAAAGGGCAACCTTAACAAATCAAACCACATTTCTTAAACAAGAAGCTATTCTCAACAGTTATAAAAACTGCCTGGAGAGTGGAATTTAAATATTTCTTGCTTCTTTGGCTTGGCACTTACCTAGACACCATTCCTGAGGTTCAGTGGGAAGGAATAAAAAGGTTTCATAAGCCCAAGAGGAGGGGAAATGGTATCAAACAGCTACTTGTGACTGAAACAAGGGTTTTCTGTTAAGAGGCCCTAGTTGGCAAGACCATTTTCCCCTAGAAAATGAAGGGAAACATGAACACGTATACGTGAGACATACACTTTAAACCTTTTTAAAAGAAAAATTAGTGGTAGTGGAACATGTTATTGTGATAAACTTAAAAAAGAAGGAAAGGAGGGAGGAAGGAAGGAAGGAAGACCTGCGTATAATTATTGCTTGGACAATGAAGAGGAAAGTACAGTAACTTGAATTTGAATTTAATAATTAGAAAATTTCTCAGCTCCTAACCACATATTTAAATAAGCAATCAATGAAAATATATATTCTCTAAAATGTAATCTCTGGTTTGACATCAGCTTTCCATCCATATACCACTACAAACCATGTACACAAATTTGTCTTACAGCAAGCAGTGCAAATTTAGAATGTGTCAAATTCTACCGGGGAGAGGGGCAGTTGGCGGGAAAGAAATGCCCCCAAGCATAGAAAACAACTTGACTCTATGTTTTTCTACGTTAGCATCTTGTGATTCATGAGGGTAGGAGCACGTTTATCTTGTTTACCCTAACATCCACATTTAGCACAGAGCCTGGCACATAGTAGGAATTCAGTATGTGTTGAATAAATAAATCTTAATACAGCCCAGTAATTCATTCAGTGTTCCCTAGCAAATGAGCGATCCTCTTTTAAAATGTACAAATCAAAAACTCAAGACAATTTGTACTGCTGACCCAAGTGTTACTTCATATAAGACCAAACAGTCCTTTCAAATACGTAAAAAGCATTCTGCACTTGGACCCACTCAACAGCTTTAGGTAAGCTTTAAGTGAACCCCAAAATAAAATAAGAGTAAGTTATTGAGTTTGAAGTACACTGGAACTTTAAAACACTTATAAATTTTACTT